TCTTGCCACTCACGAGATTACTGTGATGTAGTCTGGCCTGTTTACTGGGAATTGGGGGAGAGGGGGCATCTTCAAATAAGTTTCCTTCGATTGTTTGTAAACTGCTGATGCAGTCCGGCCAAAGTCCCCCGAAAAGTGTTGTGATGCGCATTTGATCATATCCGCATGTTAATTTGCGCAATATAAATATTAAATAATAATTATTATTATTATTATTATTATTAAAACAGTGGATAAAGAGTCACCTTGTAGTAAATGTTCAACTTTGAAAAGGCAAGTCACTTTTTTATGTACATAGAAAGCCTTTTTGTCAAACTAACATTTCATTTTATTCCCTACAGGTTCAGCCAATTAACGTTAAGAACGGCACCTTTTCCTATGCCTACGACTGTACAGGGTTCTTCACCATCCCTATCCTCATGGGGTTGATCACAGCTGGTGTTCTTCTGATCATTCTCTTTATTGCTGTGCTTGCCATGTTCAGCTTGACTACAATGGATCGCTTTGATGATCCCAAAGGCCCTACCATCCATGTTCCAACTGGTTAGACAAGAATGATGTCTTAGAACATGGATAAGATCTGCTGATAGTCTGAAATGCATTATACTGTTTCCTTTTGATAATAGTGTGATCAATGATTTGACAGACTTTCGTTGGTTGAACAAAACTTTCAACTTTAAATTTCATTATTTGAGGTGTTACAATTCTAGTCAAGTGTTCTGGAAATGCCCTGATCATTTTCAATTGTAAGTCTTGCATTGTGCAATCCACTTTTCTTGTTAACAACTCGGGAAAGTGGGAAGGGAGTAATGTTGAAACAATCATGACCAGGATTTTAAATCATGCTAAGTGTTCATAACAAACCCATGGCATATCCAGGGAGGAGAGGTCAGGAGGCCAGACCCCCCCACCCCATGAGACCAAGGGATTTTTTTCTATTAGGTACTTGTCTGAAATCAAAATGGCATGATCACATAATTATTAATACTCAAGTTAAAGTATTTAAAATTTAGTTATCTTGAAATATTTCTAAGCTTATTTAGGTTCTAGTCTGAGAAAAAAAGCTGTTTTTTTTTCTGAATCAGTTTTGACCCAATACCCCACTCTTACTCCCTATCAAACTTTTCAAGATCTGCTCCCCAAGTCTCATTATGAAGAGTCCAGCTGATTGTGAAATTGGAAGGTTTAAGGCAATCTTGTAACCAGATCCTTTTGTAACTGCTTCATGGTGGAAGGCCTGTGTGCAAGACTAGGTGTAAGGTTGAAGTCCTCATGAGTGACTCAGAATTTTGCTTTTGTCTTAATTATGACAGGTGTTAAACAAATTAACTGATATATTAATGATCAATTCAATTAACAATGTTCAGATGAGAGATGGTGTGTAGCTTTTCGTGGGGAAAAGAATTCAGCTGAGCTATATATTACTTTCCAAGTGGTGGAAATTTGTTTTTTATGTCAAACAACAGTAATGATGAGGAATGTTCTTTTAGAAGTTCCTTCATTCACGATCTTTGGTGACTTATATTTTTTTTTATCATCGCAGTGATTGTTTAAAAATTTATTGTAAGGATCTCTAACAGAAAGTTAGGTAGCATGTGAAGTTTGCTTTATATATTTTGAATTATTGTTTTCTATTACCAAGATAATTTCTTCTTCAGTGGCAAACTGGATTACTGAGTAATTGTTTGGACATTTTCTAGCTTCTTAATTTATAACCAATGACTTATCAACTCAAGCCTTTGAATTAAATAGAAGAGAGAATTTCCAATCCAAGTGAGGGAATTGTTTCTGTTTTTGTTCACAAACTTGTACTTTTCAAAGCAGCATTATGTATCCAGCATTCCCTTTGATGGCATGAAAAATAAAACTAAAAGCACTATTGCAGGTTTTTTGGTTTGTTACTAAATGTCTTTGTGTAGAATGAGAGTAATTTTTTGAATTGGGTGTCAACTTCTATCTGGGATTGCAGCAGTTGTTCTTTCTTTCTTTTCTTCACCCTTGATTCTGAAAACTTGTGTCATCCTCACCACCAAACAGATGCAAAACTTTAATAATTGTGACAGCTCCGTGGCTTTCTGTGATTTTTTTCAACATTACTTGTTCCAGTCGCAATTGGGGCGACTGGAACAAGTTATGTTGTAAGTCACTCTGGGTGTTCAAGGTTGGAAACAATTAAAGCGAAGGAGAAACTCATTTCTGAGTTCAAGCAATACGGATTGTTTCTACATGAGCATACACCAATGTACTATTTGGGATTCAAGTGGGATTCTGGCATGTCCAAAGTCAAACACAAGTGTCTAAAATCAGATTCCTATGCAAAAAATTGGGCTCTATTATCCAAAATTGAACACTATCTGACATCAGACACTAGTGTGTAGAATGGAACACTAATTCCAAAAATTGGACATTAGTGTCCCAAATTAGACTTGAGTTTGAAATTGGACACAAGGGTCCAAAATTGGACTCTGGTGTCTAAAATCAAACACTTGGACACTAGTGTCTAAAATTGGACATTCGTAGTAAAAAAATCAGACATTAGTGTCCCAAATGGGACCTGAGTATTTGAAAGTGGATACAAGGGTCCAAAATCGGACACTGGTGTCTAAAATTGAACACTTGGACACTAGTGTCTAAAAAAGTGGACACTAGTACTAACTAAAGTTAGACCTCAAAGTCAAGAATCAAACACCGACCTGTGTCTGGAATCAGACAGTTGTGCATTAACCTCAGACCTCCATTAGCTTAAAAAGGCAAAAAAAGTGCAGTTCTGCAATCTAGCTTCAAGTTTGCTGTTCCCACCCTCCACTTAGATAGAGAACTCTTCTGAGTTTCTTGGAATGAGTGGGAATGGGGCTGTTTACGAAACTGTGGTCTCATGTCAGGTATCATGTTCATATCGAGGCTGCAATAAATTTTGCGGGAAATGAACAGCCGTTACAAAAGTTTAAAAAATAAGGAAGCCGTCAAAAAGATAAGGTTTTAATTCTCATTTTTGAAAAGAAGAAAAGAATTTAAAAATATTGAGAGGGTGTACAAATTGTACAAAAATTGTTCTCGCACTGACAAACGGTCTTTTGTGCAAAGTTTCAATTCGGTTGCGAACTGGCTCAATTAGCGGCAACGTTTACAGTGTCGTGTTGGCTTTTTCTGATCACTTTTTCGACCGTTCAGGCAAAATGTTGGTTCGTCGGTAAAACAAGAAAGAGTAAAGAAGCTTTTTACGGCACTTCTAAGCCCGTACCACTTGGTTTGGCAAGAGCTGTGAACTTGCCTGAAGAAACTCCAGTTTGTTTACATCACTACCAAATACCAAATATCATTTCTTTACTTGGTTAATGCATATAAGATATAGAAGTTTATTGAAGCTTAATAAGAAGAAAGCTTAATAAGAAATTGCAAATTACAAATTACAAATTAATCTAATTATTATTGATCTAATTTACACTTTCATGTTCATGGAGACAGTTCACGCCCGCAAATAGCAGGAGCTAGTCGAGGCGGGCGAGAATTAGAGGTACAGCAGTGGTGATAGAGTACAAATAAAGCTTAAACATGAATTAATAACATTTCCAGAAAAAGACAGCCACTTAAAACTCGTATATACAACTGCATCATTTAAAACATAAGAAAACAGTAACACTACGATGTAGAATATAAATTATAAAGCCAGTTTATAATTAGTAATTTTGTAAATAGAAGGGGCGATTCAACATAGTAATCCTCAGCCNGTCTCTCGATGGATTAATATAAAAATTGCCGAAAGAAGAGAACCTCGTATCGTGATTATGCTTTTCAGTAGCTTTAATGAAAAGATTACTAATGTTAGTAGGTACAGTTAGACATGAGACGTCAAACATAATTGAGGAAACTGATTCAACGTATAACATATTTATGGGGAGGATTTTTGAGGAGATAATTAAAGGCACCGCATGTGCTCTGGGTTCAGAAAAATATATCAGCCGAAGAACACGTTTTTGTAGGACGAGGATTTTATGTAAATGGGATTTAGCAGGTTGGCCCCAAACAGCCACGCCATAGGATAGGTAAGGGAGGATAAAAGAGCGATAAATAGTTAATAGAGTGGTTTAAGGTACGAGATGCCAAAGGCGGGCAATAATTCCAATTATTCTACTTATTTTTAGTGCCACATTGTCAATGTGAAATTTCCAACTCAAATGACTATCCAATAAGACACCTAAGTTTATATGATCCTTACATTCAAGAGAGGTAAAAGAATGAATACTATTATCAAACATTTGAATATTGACTGTAAGGTCCAGTTTACGTAGTTAAGGACGAAAACTGACGAAGTTAGATTTTTTAGCATTTAAAGTTAATTTATTTGCCTTGAGCCAGTCAGAAACTTTGACCAATTCGCTATTGACCGTTGCTTCAAGGGTCTTGAGATTTTTATCGGCATACAACAAATTTGTGTCATCTGCATAAAGACAAAACGAAAATTTCGAAGAAGAGTGATGAAAATCATTAATATAAATAAGAATAACAATGGGCCAAGAACAGAGCCTTGAGGGACACCACACGAGATCTTATTAATGTTGGATAGATTAGAATCTAATTCAGTCACTTGTGTACGACCAAGAAGGTACGAGGAAAACCAGTCATTAATGATGCCCCTGATACCATAATGATCAAGTTTTTTCAGTAAGATTGAGACTAGGTTTACACTAGAGGAAATTGTTCCGGATTCATGATCAATCCGAAACGTTTTAGTACCGGATTCATTCTGCCGTTTACACGAAAGTGGACGAATCCGAAATAAAAACTTCCCGGTTTGGCCGTGTCTCCGGAGATTTTGAATCCGGAATTTAAAGTGGGAACTTTGAATCCGATAACTTTTGAATCCGGAAAGTTTTGTCGTGTAACCGCTTTTTTTCTCGAATCCGGATATTATTTCCACCTGCAATCTTTTGAGTTTGCGGTGAAACCAAAATGGATCTGGTGCTAACATTGCTGGCGGTCTCCGGTTGCCTAATCTTGTTGCAGGTTCAGGCGATAAATTTTATCATGTGTACCGCAGTATTTCTGAAGAAACGCAAATTATTATTGCAAGGAAGTTTAACGTCAGCCACACTTAATCGCCGACGACGTAGACTGCTTGGCATCTGTCCAACTCAAATTTGCCTCAGTGGCATCTGGATCTACTCTAGCCTTTTTTGGGGGAGGCATTTTCACTTTGTCGATCGAACGACGAAACAACACTGGGCTTGGTAACCATTCCATTTCGAATGTTCCCGGAGTTGTCGTTGTGTGTAAACGGTCAGGAATCCGAATATCCTTTCAGTGTAAACGCCTACGAATCCGAATACTCCAAAATTGATGAATCCGGAAACATTTACGAATCCGGAAAACTCTCCTCTAGTGTAAACCTAGTCTAAGACTAGCGAGCCGCACAAAGAAACACTTTTTGTAGTTGTAAGCTTCTCATTTATTTCAAGAGCATGGCTCTTGTTTATTTCGGACTCGTTTCGACCCCAATTAGGACTTCTTTAGGGAATGATTACAATTAAAGAGGAACAGTACATTACATAGCGCGTTGTGTCT